ATCACTCCACAAACCTCACAACAACAGACAAACAACACGATTCAATCAACAACACCTCACGCAACCCAGTCGACGAATTACATTGAATTGACTGAAAACTCCTTATCGCTAGATCTCTCTCGAACCACGCCCAACTTTTCTTCATCCACTGCGGTGCTCTCTGATTCTGCGGCCGAGGCGTTTGTAGCTTCCACCTCTGGCGTTTCGGTTATTTCTAATGCCTCCTTATCCTCATCGGGGCTCCCTGTTCCTTTTTGGTCTTCAATCCCTATGTCGAATTATACCACTGCATCCCCTAGCGTTCATCCTCCAACAATTTCTTCGACCAATTCATCGTTGAGAAGTTCGACCACCGTATCAACGACTAGTTTACGTACAACCAGAAAGACCACTTTGACTTCTACTACCGTTGTTTCGAAAACATCTATCCAATGTAAGTGTTTTCTTATTTGTCCTCATCTTGAAGTGTGAGTTTCCGGTTTATTTTGGCACATTCACTTGCTGTTTCATTTATTTGTTTTGTTTTCACCTTTATCTCTTCTTTCTTAAAAATTGCCTTTAGTAAGTAATACTTTTATTGCTCGCTTTCTTCGTTTCGATTTCCTTTATACGTAGAACTATTGGTCCTGCTGCTTTGCTACTTATCATTTTACAACTCCCGGTTAATTGTTTTTCGGGACGTTTGTTTCGGATTTCGCAGGACGTCTATGATGGAAAATATTTGTTTCTAGAAGCCTACACGTAGAATGTTTATCTATCTGTCGCAATTAATTTCTTTGTATTTTTCGTATTATGCTCTTCCCCTTTATGTAAATGAAATCAGTTAATTGTAAAAGTCACTATCTAGCTTTAGAAACCGATATCTTCAAACTTCGTTCGTATTTTCGCTTTTATTGGCATTCTTTTCAAATTGTGCTCAACTAGTATCGGTTTGTTGGTGCAGAATCTTTCCGGTACTAAACCATTCCTGCAACTGTCATATACCAACCATCTTTGGTAACGATAACTCAATAATCAGTCTACAAACTAATCTAATAATTGAGCATGACCGACTGCACTACTATCATATTTTAATAATTATCCAATACCCTCCAGCATTACGAACTTGCGTCAAGAATATACGCGGCTAACTAACAAAGGTTGATTGCATCTTTTAAAAGTCCATTTTACATCATTTGATTTGCCATTAGTATACCTGGTAAACTGGTTTTTCTGGGACAGTTAATTACACTTACATGATGAGAAAGCACAAAAATACGTCGTGTAGTAGACTGTTTCTCTCAGGACTCAAATAATGGTGATGTTCCGATACACATGTCAACTACAGAGTGAACAACTATTTTCACCGGTGTTTTTGTGAGCAGAATAAAAGACAATCAGGCACCCACAACCTTTAATACAGTATAAATTACAGCTGGGCAGCTCGGTGGCTATTTATGCATGAGAAAGCGCACCGTGTAGATCCCATATCAAGATATGTCTAAATTCAGGACAAACATGAATAGAAAACAGTAGGCATAAAAAGCGATTCAGCCAGTGTTCAATCGGACAATGCATTGTCGTCCATCAACTAGAGCGGGTGTATATGTCATAACGACAGTGGTAAATATGATCTGGTCAGGTATCTATAGATTCACGTTTTACGTTCGTTTGCGTTGCAGTCAGTAAAAATTCTGTAAGTTAGTTTAAACAGCGTGTAATAAGACTGGTGCACGTTCAATTGATTACAGTTTGGCTCAGCTTAAGAATGACAGGTTGCCACAGGACGAATGCACTGTTCTAACGACCAGGAAATAAACAGAATAAGGGCAGTTCCCTGCTGATTGTACTGCTATCAGCCATTCTCCCACCAATTCTACCTCGTACCCCGTATGTCAAGTAAAGTCAAGAATTTGCACGAAGGATAGACAGATAACGGCTTCGGGAAAAACAGATATTTACTACTTCTGTAGAAATGATAGACTAGCTTATTCGTGCCTGCAATGAAGTTACGCTGCACACCAGAATGCAGCGCCACATCTGTAAACTGTTTCTGTGCACTCTGAATTTGTGATTAATGCACAGGACTGATAACCACTTTCTGAACCGATGGCTGTGCCAGGTTATACTGGGATTGTTTGCTCATGTTCTGTAAATGTTGCGTCTTTCTGCAAACAGGGCTCTTGGCGTTTCAGAAACGACACATTTATCGCAAATGATCAGTCTTACGTGACATACTATGGTCAATGGGCTTAGCAGTATCAGAATAGTGACACTGATGCTCGAGTTCGTGGTCGGTTACCAATGGGGGGGGATTTGGGACGATTTCTTTGGAATAGAATAGTGCTCCATTCAGTTTTTATTGTCCACATCAAATTATCATCCTGTTCGCAGATTTCGCTTGCTTCTGCCAGCTTCAGATCTTTTTCTTGAAAAAAATTCCTTGCAGTGTCAAACCGTTGACATATGCCAACGAAAAGTTATAGTCATAGTTTTATTATGGGAATTTCTTATGAACGATTGTTTTTCTTGTCCCATGGCGATTTCGCACAGCTGGATCGACCTACAGATCATAGAGAAATGAGGAAATTCACAAATTTTCTTTGCTTCCTTTAGTTCTGCGAAATTTATGCCTTGACAATGTTTCATCAAGTTTGTGCTTGAATGATTCCATTACATGCATAGAGACAACATGAGGTGGTAAACAACTCCAAATGCTGCACACTTTGAGCGCATTGAATGACGTCGGCATTCTAGTCGACATCAATTTGAAGCACCAATTTGAATGAGTGTCCCCTCCGTTGAGTGTTGAGCGACCAGGTGAACAGTGTACGACTTGGGTGATCAGAGTTCTGCTTCTTTTGATACACCAAAACCAAGTCACCTCGAATTCGGTCATACTGTGTGGAGTGCAACCCCAACGATTAGTGTTTTCCCACAAATTTTGGAATGCAGTCCCTTGAACATTTTGTTGGTCATTCTTTGTGGGCGTTCCAGAATCTTACGATAGCGTCGCACTCAACTGCTCTCGCAAATGATTCCGATAACTACCTGATGATAGCTATTTGTTCAACTGGACAACCGATTCACGTCAGGACATGTTCTCGTAACGTGTTATTGTTCAATTTCGCCCTGTCGTGTGCCCGGAACACGATAGAAGTCAGACGGTTAAGCAACAGTTGCTTCGGGAAATGCGAGATTCTTTGGAATAGAATACAGCTCTCGACTACCAGTAGTGAATAACAAAGCTACTTGATCCTGTTTGCCGCCTTTGTAAACACTGAACCAGAGATTGAACAGCTCGATTTCGTACGGACTGGCATATAGTTTCAACTGTTCAATAGTTGGAAGCTCCATTTTACTTAGTAAGTAAAATATAAACAAACAAACCATCAGAATCCTAATAGCAATTGAAACACGGTTTATCGAAATACTCCGACACCGAGATGTAGAAAAATGGCCACCGAAGTAACTGTTAGGTTATTAAAGAAAATTAATGAGATCAAATAATTTACGCGACGAAATATTACTGGCTCAACAGACGCTAACCTATGACCGTCCGTGTTCTCCTCGTCGCCGGACTCCTGTCCGAGCAGCATGGGTTTTCGTTCACCCAAACTACTGACCCGTGGTTCACTGTCCTTTACATGTAATGCACAGCTCTTTGTCATGCGTTATCTTGGACAATCAAACACTGGCAATTTCAATAAATGGATAATTGTTCATCGTATTTTATAGTCGTGTTCTGAATATCATCAGATCATGGTGATTCACCGGGGCACATCCTATTTTGATGAAGACCACTTTCATCGGGATATAGTTTTAGTGACTCTCTAACGAGAACAAGTCACACAAAATGATAGGAAAAAATTGCTTGGTTAAACCATTTGGATTTATAATACACATGAGGTATGTGGCTATATCTGCTGATCTTCCGGTAATTTTGCAACCCGTTCTAAATATTTGCCATCGAGCGAAACAGGTTTTAAAACAGTGCTGTACGCTGGTTGAGGCACGAGCCCACAAGAAACTTTTTGTGGTGAGTTAAATGCCCGTCAGTGAAGAAGCGAAGTATATAAAATTGCACATTTGTTGCGGATTGTCCTTATCGTGTCATGGAACGTGCTTAGACAGCGTATCCCTCTTCAAATGATGGAACTGTGAACCTCGGCGTTCAAGGTTTTTGATAGGGTTTAGTAAATCTGATCATCTTATTGGACGCAAATAAGACTACCCAAGTGCATACCTTCCTTCCTTTTCTCTTTGTTCAGTCGTGGCTCAATACAAAATCTCTACAAAGATAGCTGCCGTATGGGAATCGGATTTAGAAGACTCGTCAACTGAAAAGTTTAGGAATTTAAGCAACATACTGTGCAATCTGGTAAGTTGCATATGAAAACATAAAACTTTGTTGTCCAGTAGATTTCAGTATTATTTTTAATTGCGAAATGTTCAGTGACCTTGGTGGAATTTGACAAACATAACTAAACTTTTAACTCGCCTTAAAAGTTCATTTGGTGGATTTTAACGAAAACTTGTCATGGCCTCTAGCCTACATGACACCTGGTGGATTCTGTATGCCTCCGTAAGTTGGATGGGCATTCAAAATTCGAAAAACTCAGTGCTGTCAGTGTGACTTCGTAGCCTCATAGTCCGCTTGTTAGAGCCTGTGCTTAGAAACGTGCATGGGCGGCGTCAATGCGTCGGTTCGAGGCTCACAGAGGCTACTGGAGGTTTCACAACTCAAACGCAAATGTAAAAGTTACCTAATCTTTCATATTTATAAAATCTAACCCTCTTTCGGTTATACACAACTGACACAAGCAGGGGGCCATTGCTAACTTTCATAGCATCATTTTTGTGAGGTATGCGCTCGTCGCATACTTTTCTAAGGCGTCCTTGGATAACAGAAATACAACAGTAATTAAATGTAAACCAAAGAGCTGCATTTACTCATCAGCAGTTTCGAGTGCTTGTTTCACCAATTGTTACTTGTCAGAAGCAGTCGTGTCATACACGGATTAAAAACTTGTCAGCTAAACAGAATCATCCGAAGCTTGTGAAGTTTATGGAAGTGTGTGAAGAATGTCTGCAGTAATAATTTTGTACATTGAATTTTACTTCAACATGACGTCTCCGGGACGAGTTAGTATGGAGTGCATTTTTATTACTTACTTCCGTGAGACGTCTGGTCAAATGATTCAACTCTTCAGTCGAGGAAACCTGGCATTCAGTTGTGAGAGCTGACAGTGTAATCCCTTCTATTGGCAACAGTGAATCATTTAGTCCATATAACTTTTTCAGCTTAGAATGAAGCAAGCAGACGGGGAGACTACCAATTTCAGTTTGACACCATGTTTTTGGTCACATAATAAAGACAGAATAATTTCTAAAATTTGGTTCATTTATGAATTACTATTGGTAAACCTATAAATCTGATGGCAACGGAAATGGAATTTTTGAAATTTTTTTTTAATTAAAAGGAGGACAAAAATAAGAATGGTAATAACAGTTTCCTAGAATTTAACAACCGCAGGCCGATAGCAATTAATCAGAAAAGAAACATAGTCTCTGCATCCAGCACAGTGTGGGGTGTAACGCTGTAGGCAACGATCAAGGCAATCACAAAGCTAAACGGTGGCAGC